GTCAGCCTCTCTGCTCCTATGATGCTGCTTGGCCTGCTGTGTTCATCCAGCCCTGCACCTTGTTGTCTAGTAGAAATAAGCCCATTTTATTCAAACTGTTCTCATAAGACATCCCATTCATTCCAGGTATCAATTTAGTAAACTTCACTTGAACTGTCTCAAATACGTTTACAACCTTCCTTAAACAAGGGAGTCAAAACTGCATACAGTATTCAAGATGTGATCTGGAAGCATAACCAAAGCATAGCAACTTTAGTTTTATATCAATTCCTCTTGAAATAGAGGACAGTACACCAGTAGCCTTTTTGATTACGTGCTGTACCTGCATATTAATGTTTTGTGACTCATGCACCAGAAAATCCAAGATCTGCACCTTTGAACGCCACAAACTTTCTCAGTTCTGCTTTTTCATTCTTCTTACCAAAATGAAAACCTCACAAATCTGCTAGATTTCTGCTCGCGCAACGTATCTATTGAGCCTGTCACTTATTTGTTAATTAATGGTGCTGTAGGTGGCAGTGGTTCATCTGTCCTTGGGACAATTGAGACCAATAATTCTACAGCATAAACTCCTTTACTGACACAGGGTCCATATTACTATATTAGAAACAATTTGGAATGAATGGGAGGTAGAATGTCCGCTTTAATGAGTCTACCAATCTAATGCTGAGCCTATCATCAATTTCAGAATGTTGAAATTGACCACAATGAAAGAGAGAGAGAATTAGAGTTGAACCCAATGATCCATATAACAGCATAAGTTCTTTGGGAGGCAAGGAATATGAAAGAAACAATAGAAAACATACTTATTATGAAAAAATTAGGAAAGTAAAGTAACAGAGGAAGATGGAGACTCATATTTTTCTCATTTCTTTTGGTGATCCACAGAACAAGATATCAATGTTATTGTCGAACAGTAATGTTTCATAGCATATTTTTTCCATTATGAAGCAATGCGTTTGCCTCTAATGAACTTGGATGATCAGCTATCTTCCTTCAATATGACTAAATCTCTTAGCTGCTTTTGATTGTCTTTGGAAAATCCTGCCTAGTTAAGAATTTAATTTATTTGTAAAATTTAATTACTGATTTTTCTTTTAAGGTTATCTGTTTTAAGATAGTTACTTTTATTTTTAGTAGTGTTCCAACGAGTCATACTGGATTTGAAACATTAGCTCTATTTCTTTTTCTATAGATGCTTCCAGACCTCTTCCAGCACTTAGAATCACAGAATCCCTACAGTGTGGAAACAGGCCATTCAACCCATCAACCACACCAACCCTCTGAACAGCATCCCACCCAAACCCATCCCCCTACCCTATCCTTGTAAACCTGCATTTCCCTTTTCTAATTCACATAGCCAGCACATCCCTGGACACGAGATAGTAGGAACTGCAGATACTGGAGAAGCTGAGATAGCAAGGTGTAGAGCTGGATGAACACAGCAGGCCAAGCAGCATCAGAGGAGCAGGAAGGCTGACGTTTTGGGCCTAGACCCTTCTTCAGAAATGGGGGAGGGGAAGGGGTTTCTGAAACAAATAGGGAGAGAGGGGTAGGCAGATAGAAGATGGATAGTGGAGAAGATAAGTGGAGAGGAGACAGGTCAAAGAGGTGGGGATGGAGCCAGTAAAGGTGAGGACTTCACAAGCTTCAAAATCTCCCCTCCCCCTACCGCATCCCAAAACCAGCCCAGCTCATCCCCGCCTCCCTAACCTGTCCTTCCTCCCACCTATCCCCTCCTCCTACCTCAAGCCCCACCCCCATCTCCTACCTACTAACCTCATCCCGCCCCCTTGACCTGTCCGTCCTCCCTGGACTGACCTATCTCCTCCCTAACTCCCCACCTACACTCACCTTTACTGGCTCCATCCCAGCCTCTTTGACCTGTCTGTCTCCTCTCCACTTATCTTCTCCTCTATCCATCTTCTATCTGCCTCCCCCTCTCTCCCTATTTATTTCAGAACCCCCTTCCCCTCCCCCATTTCTGAAGAAGGGTCTAGGCCCAAAACGTCAGCCTTCCTGCTTCTCTGATGCTGCTTGGCCTGCTGTGTTCATCCAGCTTTACACCTTGCTATCTCACATCCCTGGACACTATGAGCAATTTTATCTTGGCCAAACAACCTAACCTGCACACCTTTGGACTGTGGGAGATAACTAGACCACCTAGAAGAAACCTGGCAGACCAAGGGAGAATGTGCAAACTCCACACAGTCGCCCGAAGCTGGTATTGATACTAGGCCCTGGTGCTGTGAGACAGCAGTGCTGACCATGCAGCCACCATGTCGCCGCCTTGCTGTTTTTATTTCCGATCTTCAGCATCCACAGTATCAACTTTTGTTTTTAGGACTTCAGAGATCTTAATTGACAGTTAAGTAAAAAATGAAGTGTCTGTATTATCAAAACAAGTGGCCTTTTAAATTAAATATACTAACTGATATAAAGGGTGAACATCAATTTCAAAATCAAGGCTGGATTCAAACATTACCACCTTCTGCTGGTTTGTCAGCCACAAAGCGCTCATTTTTATTTTCCTCTGGTTTTGTCACAACCATAGATGTTAACGGTGTTACAAAGCTGTACTTGAGCGACAGTTCCAGGATTCTGTCAGTCAGGTTTCCTTTCTCATTTGTCTCTGCAGAAACCCTGAATGCAATAATTGGCAACAATTAATTGTGCAATGTATTGTTATCCATCACAATAAATATTTGTGCTGTGATTAAAACAAATGTTTCTGTAAGCACTTTTAACTCTTAATACATTTCTCCTCTACAAATAATCAAAACAGATAATTAAATTTACTAAATTATTCTAAGCCATTTTGCACTAGTGACAGCTTCATTTGGTAAAAATATCGACTGATGAAAGGTTAGTAACCAAAACATGATTTTACTTTTCAAGTGGTTATGGACCAGCAATATAAGTCTAGCTATTATTGCTTGCACATAAATTGCATTTTTATGTTTCAAATTCATAGACAGTAAACTCCTGATACTTTACCGCTTCTCTAAGAGCTGTTGTATGGTCAAATAAGCCCACAGCCGCTCAGTGAAATCACCGAAAATGTATTGCTGCTGCTGAGTGACATTTTCAACTTCTGAAATCTGCACTTCAGCTTTTAGAGTTAGATTTTCATTGGCCTGTTGAAGAATTAAAGGTATTAGGTTGAACCTTATAGTAAAAAAGATTGGGAAAGTACATCACACCTTGTTTTTTTGTTCCATGACAAGCTCACAATTTGTAGTTGAACTGCTGTATTCCTTGGGGTGTACATACACCCACAGTATTTTTAGGAAGGCAGTTCCTGGACTTTGACCCAGAGACAGTGAAAGACAGTATATAATTCCAAGTCAGGATGGCAAGTAGCTTGAAAGGGAACTTGTAGGTTTTGGTGTTCCCATGCATCTGCTGCCCTTGTCCTTCTAGATGGTAGTAGTTGTGGGTTTGGAAGGTGCTAGCTAAAGAGCCATGTGAATTCCTATGTGTATCTTGTAGATAGTATACACTGTTGCTACTGTGTGTCAGTGGTGGAGGAAGTAAATGTGGTGGATGTCGTACCAATCAAGCAGGCTACTTTCGCCTGGATGGTGCCAAGTTTCATGAGTATTGCTGGAACTGCATCTGTTTATTACTGCCTTCAGACCTGCCATCATGGGCTAAGGGCAAGGGAGACACCACATGACCAGTAACCAGGAGAAATCCAAGCTAAAACATGTCAGATAAAGTTTATGTATATAAGTTGTCCTGTTACTGAAAGTTATCAGTTTGTCTGTTAAGTAAATCAACAAAAGTTTTCAAGGAAACTGAACCTACGGTAATTACCAAACCAGTATGACAGTGATACTTCTGTGTTAAGAAAGACAACACAGGAAAATGACAGCAAGTGCAGAGTCTCCATCACACTCCTGGTTTCTGCCTTGTAGCTGAGGAGATGAAAGGCAAGTTACTTGCTGCAAAATTCCTAGCTTCTGCCCAGCTCTTGTAGGCACAGTATTGATATTGCAAGCCCAGTTCAGCTTCTTGTCAATGATCACCGCCAGAATGTTGATAGTGGAGGGGGCAGCGGTTCAGAAATGGTGGTGCCATTGAACATCAAGGGGCAATAGTTGGAGGTTCTTATTGGAGATCGTCATTGCCTAGCACAAAAACAGAAATTGCTGGAAACACTTGGAGTCCATTGATCCTTCTTCAGAACAGAAGTATACGTTAACTCTGCTTTCTCTCCACAGATGCTGCCAGACCTGGTGAGTTTTTTTTTTAGCAATTTCTGTATTGCCTTGTTACTTGAGTGATGTGAATGATACTTGCCACTTATCAAGCCTGGATATTGTCCAGATCTTGCTGCATATGAGCAAGGCTGCTTTAGTACCTGAGGAGTCACAAAAGATGCTGAACATTGTGCAATGATCTGCAAACATCCCTACTTCTAACCTCATGATGGAGGGAAGGTCACTGAAGGTGACTGAGCTTAGGACACCACCCCGAGGAACTCCTGTAGTGTGCTGATACAGAAATGATTGATCTCCAACACAACTACCTTCCTTTGTGCTAAGTATGACTTCAATCAGTCCAGAGATTGACTCCAGTTGTACTAGAGCCTCTTGATGTTATAACCTGTCAAATGCTGCCGTCACATCAAGGGCAGGCACTCTTCACCTCCTACAGCTCCTAGGGCGGCAGTAGAATCAGAATTCACTTTAATATAAAAGGGAAATAGATAAATATTTGTAAGAAGAATATTTTTGTAAAGCTATGATTTAAATTAGGAGGGAGATAGAGTTAAGCTTATTGTTCTTTCAAAGTGTGAATACAGGCATAATAAGCAAAACAATCTCCTACTGCACTATATACATTTGATTTTAAAACGTAAATAAGTTAATTGGAATAACTGGTAGTGAGTACTTACGGTTTGAGCAAAGACCTCTGCTGTGAGAAAATCCAGGTCATTGTCTGAAATCTTGCCAGCTACTACAATTTCAGAGCCATCATAATACTGCCTAAAATTAGCCTGAGTTAAGTCTGAAATGGCATTCTCTGGATATTGCAATTCAATATCCAAAAGCAGGGGATTTGCTACTTCATCATAAAAGCCCTGTGAAAATTAAGAAAATTTAAGAACTTGGCATACTTTCTAAATAATCATAATATTAGTGAGTCTTTAGCCTACAAAACCCACTGAAATACAATAAAAATCAAAAGAACTGCAGATGCTGTAGTGAATACAGGCATAATAAGCAAAAC